ATTTTGGAGCAACCCCTCTCGGGATACCAGGTTTTGCGGATGTTTGAGAGACATCAGCAAAGGAATTGTCATGAGAACTGCAATAGAGGTATTCAGGCTTATGAATGGGCAATGAGGTTTACATCCATGAATAATGCCTAAAGTTGCATCCCTGAAAGAGAATCTCACAGCCTGACATGGCTTCAAGCATGTTGCTTTTAATCTTGAGACTTTATACAAACCTCAGGCGGGGCAATACGCTGCATTCCGCTCCATATAGATGTTGGGTTTGATTCCTGAACATGTGACAAGGTGAGTTCCCCCCCGAGTGGTTGCCATCGTGGTCCCCTGGAAGTACTTTGGAATTGGATCAACTGGTTGAACTGAAGTCGAACACAATGAAGCATTGGTTGGGAAGGGAAGTCCCTGATAGATGAAACTCAAACTCCTCGATGGTGGCGGCAGGGCAGATGAACTCTGCCACCAACGATTGCGTGATCAAGGGAGGAGCGGTGGGAGTGGAGAAGATGTCGTTATGGCCTGGGCTCAACCAGGTCAAAGGAATACCGCACACCTTGGCCAAAAAGGGAGTGTTTCATGGTGAAAGGAAGCATCAACTGACTCCTTGGCAAATTGGCCTCGGAGAGTTGATGTTCATGATGTTTTCAGTCACTGAGCCCTGGCCAGCCTGGTCAGGGGTCGGGGGGAAAGCAGGGCAAAGGACCGAACGAAACAGGAGGAACAAGGAGCTTGATTTGACCAAACGAAACAGGACCCGGATCAGTGGATCAGTGGTGAGTTACCTCCGTTCTTTACTTCTGTGCCTCTCTCTCGCGGTTCGAATGCCTCCAGAGCTCACATGGCCTCCAGATCTCACATGGAGGTCTTTTTTTGGATGTCCATCATGTCCAAAAGAAATCAAAGACAAACCACACCAGAAGCGAACCACGCAGTCGATCCTTCAAACAGTCAGGGTGTTTTTACAGCACATGTGTACCGTCTCGCACCACTCGAATCAAACGAGTCGAATCGAATCAACAGTGGACCCTTCGAGTCGTAAGCAAAGATTGCGTGCAGTGAGGAAAACCACCTGTTTGTAGTGAATTTCAGGGTCTTCCTTACGGGGCCATTCTCCACTTCCATGTTAGTTCTAGGGAGTGTAATATTGTGTCACCAGCAGTTCACCAGCAGATGCCTTTGAACCTCGCAGGCGTTGCTGTTATCTACATCAAGCGGCTCCCATATGCTCCCATGATTGTTTGGTAGCGAATCAAGACCGTTGTGGATTTCATAGATTACAGCCAGGGAACGTTTTTGTTGCTCCTTCACAACCGCAGACCTCTCATATCTGCAAAACACAAAAGCGCTTCGCAACAAAAGCCACCAACTAGAAATTGCTCGAATAAAAGTAAAAGCTGTGTTTGTCGGTTTCGAACCACCTGTCAATGCTGTGAGACGGGTACATCATTCCGCGGCCTGTGGCGCCAGGTCAAAAGAATACGACGCTCAGTGGGTCGAAAAAACCGGGCCCTGAAGCCAAAGTAAAGTGTTCATTCCCAATCAAACAGAGTGGGTGGTTTCTTTGCCGGGTGCTGAACAGAGCAGCTCTTACCGCGTAGATCCACGTCGAAATGGTGGCTGTCATGATCACCAAAGGTATCCAAAAGTGACATGTCCATAGCCAAACACCTCGCCTCAATGCAACCAAATCGCCTCAATGCACCGCTTGGCCAAACAAACATATTCTACATGATTTGGAGCACCAACATTGCATCGGTCACCTCCGTTTCTTCTGCTTCAGCTGTTGCGATCGGTCCAACGCATTGATCGGTTTGGCCCGGCGACTGATGGGCCGGATCCATGTCTCGTCGCTCCATGTCTCGTCGCTCCTTCGATCGCAGATCCGGCCTGCCATGGCCCTTTTAAGAGCCTTCCTGTGTGTGTGTGTGCTTAGTGTGCCGCTGCCGGGTTCAGAGATGTTAAGAGGGAAAAACCATTTGCACAGATTCTTGTCCCAGTGCTCAGGCAAGGCCTGTATCGCAACTTCTTTTGTCACCCGGTGTTTTTGGGCGGAGCCCTGTCAATCTGGCGCTGTATGCTCGTCCCTTCAAGCGCAGTTTCCCTTTTTGGACGCCCTCTTAAGCAACCGAGAGCGGTGTGGTTCGCACCTGTGGTTCTACGACCCCTTCATGAATACTTCTGTAGGTTGAAGTTGCAATTTGGTGACAAACACAGCGTCAAGACGCCTTGGTTGTTACTAGTTTTCGACTGAGTTGCCGCTTTCCCGGACATCGGCTGCTCCCCCCCGGTGACTTGACACTTCATGAAGCCACCTGTTGGTTCGGGGATGATTTGGGGTCTTTGTTTCAGAACGCTACACATGGTGCTGTGCGGGCGCACCTGTTGCTACCCCTACCGGCCCTCTACGGCACATCCGTTGGGGGCGCGCGGAGCGCCGTTCCTTTCCGATTCTGGGGCGATTCATTCGGTGGAGCACTCCGCACACCTTGGGATCGTCTGGTATATGGCGATGCATGGCGATGTGCAAAGGAAATATGACTTCCTGACACCATTTGATCTATCCTGTGACGCCATACCTATAAGCACATCCCGTAAAAAATCACTTCTAAAGGTAGAGCTGGCTGAGATCTATCCTGTTGGAAAGAACCACTTCCACCGCGCACTTGAATTCAGTCTCACAATGCCTGCAAAGTATATGCTTCGATACCATGGGTGACCGGCATCTATATAGAGATGCAACAAACACGACTGTATTCTTTGACGAACGCATCATATGGAAGTGGATGGCATGGTCCCTTGGAAGACTACTTTCCTTTACAAGCAGAGGGGCTTTCCACTTCCACGTGATGTGTTCGTCGGAGTGGAGTTGGAGCCGTAGCAATCATGGAAGTGAAGCAGTTTGTTCCCTGCAAGATCCTGCAAGATCATTTTCCTCTACAAGTTCTACACGGGGGGGCTTGCTCAGCTTTCATTTGATCTGTTTGAGGAACGTGGGCTTCGTGCCTGGCTTGGGCTTGGGGGGTCCGTCTCTAGGATCAACCCACGTCCGCAGGATCGACCCTGGACCCCTTGAATCCCTGGGCGGCCACCCCCTTCGAGAAGCGCGAGGACGGAGGGTGAAAACGGGGCGACGGCATCGCAAGCATGGGATCCCTTCTTTTCCTACCCAGGACAAGTGGGATCATTTGCAACACTTCTTTTGGGGGACTCAAGCTGGTGGAACGTTAAGCTTTACTTTCCTGATCTTTCCGGGAAACTCAGGGAGTCTGTCGACGTGCAGAATTTCAAGGACTCCCACAATGGGCTTCGGTCCATTTGCGGCCCACGGAGGAACCTTCCCAGATCGATCGAGCAAGAGCTGTGCATGAACAACATATATTTAAGGAAAAACAATGAACCCGGACCCTCGAAAGGGGTGTCGAGGGGTGTCCATTAACCACCCCTTTGTGACTCCAGGAACATAATGTTTGGATTTGTTGGGCCCTTCGCCACAGGCAATTCATGCGAACTTTCCAAATTGAGAGAAGTCTTAACAACTCTTCCAGCCCGTCAGCGGAGTCAAGCTGACATCAGCTGAGCATTTTCTTGAATCAAAGCTTGCTGACCTAGGCAGTTTGACCTCATGACATGTCCTTTGACACGAAAAAACGGCTCCAAGACTAGGACAGCAACAATGTGTCCAAAGAAACATCATGGGTGTGGGTCAAACTTCATCAAACTCCCCTCCCACGGTCACCATCGTAGGTTGACTATCCCTTTTTGGGGGGAGTCGGTTATATAACTTGGGCTTCAACCAGGGTTCCTGGGTTTTGACATGTTTTGACCTGTCAAACTACGACCTCCCTGCCAACACATTGATGTTTAAGCAGTTTGCCCAGGACGCGCCCGATGCCAGCGTGTAAGCTGCCAAGCTGATTGTGCACGCTTAAGCCGTGCGCGACTGTGTCGAGCGATTGAGGATGACGATTGAGCCGAAAAAGGTATGCATACTCCCAGAATCTGCAAGAGATGAATCACAGCGGCAGATGGCTGATGAAACAAGACAGGCTTCTTCCAACCTTTTGCCGTCTTCTCAATCAATTAGGACTAGCAACTAATGTCCCCGTCTGAGACCACCTTCTCTCTCAGAAAGGGGGAGTGTTTTGTCAAAGGCAATGGGGTGACATGGTGCCATGTCATTCCCTGGACATGTGCGAAACTGGAGATCCCCGCTGGGAAAAAGCAGCGGAGCGATCGCAGTGTTGATGAGGATTACGGGTTTCTTCCAAACGAACTTGCCATATCCAAAAGAAAAAAGTGTCTTTGCCCTTTGCAATCAAACCTTCTATTTGTGTGGCGAACTGCATTTAACATGGTCTGAGCATTGGATCATGCATCCCCAGTAAATATTTGCATCGAGCCTCAGGCAAAAGACCAGTTGAACTTGTGCATTTCTCCACATGGACGGAGGAAGCAGCCTGCTGCAAAACCTATATATACTTTTGAGTGGGAGTGTGTGTGTGTGTGTGAGCAGGTTTGGATCGCATCAACAAGCTCGACACGAAATGAATCAGAACCCACCCACACGGTATCAGCAGAGCTAGGGGACACTCTTGACTATTGTGTTAGAGGACCAAGGTTCCTTTGAACAGCAAAGGTATGAATTTGGCTGAAAAGGGTCCACAGCCAGCTTCTTCCAAGAATTGGACGCATCCACAGCGATAGAGCAGGAATCACTGCCAGCTGGCACCTCCCAGTTGGAGTTGGGTGAGTTTTCTTTTGGCCATGGATGGTAACTAGGGCTCCAGTCGTACCGAAACGACACGATGGTTTTTTGGGACTCACACCATTCACACCCACCCCAAACATCTCCAAACACCTTGGAAACGAAGGTACGACTGGAGCCCTAGGCCCTTGTTCATCGAAAATGGTTCAATAGAAGCGGCTTCAACCCCGGCCAATACCTGGTATCAGGTATCAGGCCAGACTCTCCCGGTAGTGCTGGTCATTGCCTTGGAGAGGCAGCATATTACACCGCCAGCGACCTGATCATGAAGGCTGAAGGCTGTGGTCGCATGCAGGATGGAGTGGAAAAAAACGATGCACTCAGCTGATAATTGACTGACAACATATATATGTCTTTAAACGCACCCAAAGCACACCACCATGATGGGTGAACATCCCCTCAAAGTAATTGTTTCGGAGACATACCTCTTCTGTGGTTCGCAGTATTAACTTTCTCTTGAAAGCACGTTGGAATATAAGCCATAGTTCGAGCAGCACCATGTATAGCAACTAATCCGACCATTCCATGCGAATGAAATGTTGCGAAGCTTCAATGAAAGACCTCCAAATGACGTTTCTGACACAGACCAAGGAATGTTGGACGCAGACCAAAGGAATGTTGGACCCTAAATGCTCTAAAGGGTGGATTGCAGACCTTTATCACATTTTATCACCAGAAGTATACAGTACCAAAGAGGTTCTCCTGGTCTACGTACGTTTTCCTCGACAGCAGAACCTTGCAGTGTGTTCTTTGTGGAATTTACTTTTGTAATTACGTCTAATTATTAATAACTGAAGTTTGATGCATTACCATTTGCCCAAGCATTGGGCCATATATATTTATATTATAGATAGTATTATAGATACTTTATGACATATTTTACATTTATATGTATATATATATATATGTATAAACATGGTATTGCATATATAAATTACACTATATATCTAGTTGATATGATGTATTTACTTATTTAAGGTTTGTTTGCGCATGTCCTCCTTGCTGTGCTGATTTCGGCCCGGCGGCGGCATCAGGCGGCTGAATCAGATCCGAAGCCATTCCCGCCGACGGACCGTCCGACGGTGCAGACACCGTGGCGAAGCGGGCGAACGGTTGGAGAGCGTGGCGAAGCGGTGCGTTCGTGTGGAGTCTTGGGGGTTGATGATTTGGTTGGGTGATGTTAGGTGTATTCTTATAATTTCTTGTAACAAATAATATACCCTGAACAACTAAACCCTTACCTTGTTGTCAGGTTTGCTTGCCGTGATTCACGACTTCCATGCTCCAAACCCAGGGTTTCCATGAAAAAACGGGTTTCCCAAGAAAAGCATCGAATCAAGCGGTTTTTCTCAGTATATCCCTAGAGTGTTGATCGAACTATTCTCAAAACAACCCGTGCAAAAGACATGGGTTGAGCCCTCTAGTATCCCTCTGAAATTATAGTGTTTTCGGTGTGGATTCATAGTCGCTGGTCTCACTGCTCCAGCCTCTTTCTGGGTGCCAAGAACCAAAACCCCGGGTTTGGGGGGCAAACCCTGGTTTTGAAAGCAGACCCTGCGAATTTCTTGGGACTGGTTGGTGAAGGTATATAGAAATAAGTCACAAAGAAATGCGTGTCAAATCGTGTCAAGTATACTCACTGACTCCTCCTATCCGAAAGCTTTAAACAAGCGTGTTTGAAGCGCGCCGAGAGGCCTCTCCGACAAAAAATTGGGCTCGAAACAAACAAACAAATGAGGCCTTGCAGGTGCTGTTGCAAGAGTGTTTCCAAAAATTTTGGATGCTGTACCAAACATCACCCATTTAGTGGAACGTGATGGACGCCTTGTCACTGGCCAAAGATATTCAGATCGATTGAACAGTAATTGGATGGGTTACATGATCAAGATGATACTTAATTACTCGGGTCAATGTTCAGAATCAGCCTTGGGCCATATCAATTTGGCTACTTTGCACTTGGATACTTCATTTGCCAGATTCTTCATGTACCATCCATTCAAGACACGTGATCGCTGAACACTCTTGAAAACTAAATGAATCCAGCCATCCATCCATCCGTCCTTTCGAGTCTCCCCCACACACACACCTCTCTTTTCCACCCACGCCGGACCGGGTCTGTGGCCCGGACCACCGGACCCCGCCATGCCGGACCTGGTGATGATCCACGGGCTGCTGGGCTGGGCCGAAGAAGAGAAGCCGCTCTATGGCGGCTTGACGGCAGCCAACGCATGTGGACGTTGGGTTCGGGTGTCATCCCAGTGGCCAGCCATTGTGCATTTCGTGAATGTGTTCGTCGGAGGGTCGTTTCTGTAGCCACCTGGGAGTCGGTCGGCTCGCTCAGTGGGCTCCTTCCGCACGTCCACCGGGGTAGCACCCGAACCGTACCGGGCGCCCAACGGCCGAACCGTACCGGGCGCCCCAGGCCGAACCGGGCGCCCGCGGGTGCTCAGGTTGGATGCCGGACTACTTCCCGCTGCGCTTCATCCGGGACCGCTGGACTGAAGGCGCCGTGGTCGCCGTGCCATGGCCGGGCGGAGACGGAAGAGGCAAAGGGTGGGACGAGACAAAGAATAGACCAATAGTAGACAAACTACCTTTAGTCACAAAGGGGTGGTTAATGGACACCTCTTAACAGCTAAGGGACTATGAATGGACACCCCTTGGAGGGTCCGGGTATAGATTGCTTGCGGATGTTGAAAGAAGATCAGATTTGCATATGAGCCATGGGATGCCATGAGAAACTACAGGATGAAGGGTGTAGTACCAGGACTCTCCAAGGGGTGTCCAATGGACTACCCCACACTACCTATAGGCTTCCATTGGGCACCCCTTAGAGGGTCCTGGTATAGGTCTATAGTGTTTATGGACGAAAGATGCACCTGGCTATGACTGCAATTTTCTTCAACGCCGTTGGAGCTATCGGATATTCACCTGTTGTTGTCTCCCAAGATTCAGATCCATCTCATGTGGGAAATCCAAAGAGGTTCCTGTAGATCGAAGTTCGGTTGGTTAGTAATTCAAAGGTAAGTAATTAGTCTTTATCAGGATATCAGGATATCAGGTAAATCAGGTATCTTTGTTGTTTGCCAGGATATCAGGCTTTTCGCCATCGACTTGTGGAGCACGCATCGGCTCCATGTGACGCTCCGCCACCACCGACCGAGGTGGAGCTGGGCGTGGCGTCCTCGGACCACGACCGCGCCTGCGAGGCCTTCGCACACCTGACGCTGGGTGGTGTGCTGAGGGGCGGTAAAGGGGCTCTCTAGGATGAGGGAGAGTGGCTGGTGCGTTTTTGCGGTTGGTTTTGGATGTTTTGGGGGAGGGTGTGGGGTGGGAAGAGGATGGAAGAGGTGTTTCAATGAAGAGAGGAAGTGGTTGGAGAATCATGCTTGCGAGATGTCCAAGGTTCTGGGATGTTCTAGGTATTGACAGTTGTTTTAGATTGGCCATATCTCATGCATGTGTTATATGCTGGAAACAAGTGTGTTAACGATTGTTAACGTGTGGTTCTCAAAGTATGAAGATCAACCCATGCTGTGCATTTATCCTTCAGCAAGCCTCGCATCAGTGCGGAATGTTGAAGGGTTGGTACCAGATGTGAGAAGATTCGAAGCTTTTTGAGAGGGGACTGAGCTCGCAACGGCTCGGGTTGTTGGGGGGGGTTCTCCAGCTCCCTGCTCTTTCCCATTGAGCCGGCAGTTTTCCAGCTCTTCACGATGTGAACACGCCTTTCATCCAGCGCCAAGCTGGGAGGGAACCCCTTCCGGCGCCCAACTGTCAGTTGGGATGAGCTTCAGGGCATTGAGGGTAGAGACCATATTTGGGTCGGCCCCCATAAGATGAACTGTAGAGTTGGATTACTTTGAGGATGTCAACCATGCTGGAAGTGATCATATTTGGACCATGTGTGTATTGTACTTGTTTGCTTGACATTATATATGCGTATATTGTTTTGCAGTTTAGTACAACCATATAGACTCTAGACATTGCTTTTGGTTGACTCTTTGGCCTACCATTTTACCATGTATGCCTAATAGCTTTGACTCCATATTGTGTTTATAATAGTCTATATATGTCTATATGATATTACATAATAGTTTACATAATACCCAGACACTCCATGTATGGTATATTTACCTACATTGGGATGGTTTGAGGGGTCAATGTAGGCATATACGACAGACATGGAATGTTTGGGATAAGTAAACAGTTTGGGAGCTCCCTAATGCTGGCGTCCAAAAACAACGAGAAAACTGTGAAAAGATGATCGGCCCAACAGCAGTGTGCGACTGACGGGATGCAACGGTAGGGCGGCACAACATGACCCCTCCATTGGGCCAGAAAAGGGAGTTGCCTGAACCTGGGCCATGAGAAGCAATTTGGAGCGTTCTTCTATGTTGCAACTCCAGAAAATGTAGCAACAAGAAGCTACTAGGAACAAGTGCCACGCTAGTAGTAACAAGTGCCTTACTAGTAGTAACAAGAAGCTACTAATAGAGCGGTCAACATAGACGTGAGGCTTACGCCACCCTCATGCCGTGAAGAAACATTGGGTCCGTCCGGAGTACGCCTAGGATGGGCTTACGTGTGGACTATGGCCGCCCGGCGATGCAAATCTGGGAGACATCGAAGGAGATGCAGAGCATGACAGTTTTGTTGAAGCTGTACCTTTGTATAGATGCCCTTGGACATGCATTGCGGCATTAGCGTTACTTCACTTCTTTAACCTACTGCGCCATGGAGAGTTGTTTACACGTATCCAAATATATTGCTCATGGGTCAAAACCCGGAGCCTTGGGCACCTTTATTCTCTTCATGTTCGCTGGTCACCCGGGGTCTTTTGAACCACATAAATCTGAAACGTTTTATTCATCAACCCGATGTTTGGTCCAAACCCGAACGCCGAACTCCGCGCCCACGGCGGCCCAATGTTTCTGTCTGATCCCTTCGTGCGGAGCATGAGGCGAAGAGCACGCCAAGCAGAACCGGCACGCACGCTTTGGCGTGGACTTTCGTGGGCAAGGCGGCGGGGAGCATGGCGGATGATGGACCTTCCTTGCAGAATTTGGTGGATGGGCGAAGATCATGTTGAAGTTTCCCACATGAAGTGACCGGTTTCTTAGCCCTGTTTTTGTTTTACAGTTTTGCCTGAATCCTGACCCTCTTTTGATATCTTTGGTATGTCCTTTAAGTATACACATAGGCCATCAAAAATATCAAAACAAGACGGGTGAGATCGGAAGTCTCACGGTGCCCTGCGGTTTTTCTCGTGTTTGGACCGAGAGCCATTTTATGACATGGGTTGGCATGGCACCCGGGCACTCTAACTAGTTGACTACTGAAAAATGAACAGATGTCTACCTAGAACCTGAATGACTTCTATTTTGGACCAGCAAGCACCCAAAATATGGCCTTTTCCTATCAAAACAGGGGTCAATAGGGTTCCAGGTATATCATAGGGATGTTTTGGTGGGGGAGCTTTTGACTCACAAATGAGTTCAAGCACTCCAGCGATATTCATTGCCTCCCCTTCTTTTGTTTGGACACGTCGCCAGGCCTCTTGAAGCGCTGGGATGCCACGTCGCCGGTGCATTTGGTGGGCCACAGCTTTGGGGGTAACACAGCAGCAGCCCGGCGCTTGACATTGGAAGCTGACCAAAGAATTTCAGCAATGTGTGGATGATTGTGGATGTTTCTTGAAGAAACCAATCCTAACAAATTCTCCCAGACATGTTGTTATATTTTTCTTTCTTGGCTGTTTCTTTGATCATCTTTGATCATCTCCTTGCAACAACTTCTTGGGAGATGTTTGTTGGGATCGCAGGACAAGAGTTCGAGCAGCCGCCCCTCATGAGTATGCCGATCTACCCGTCTTCACTGACTCCACCGGTCTCCCGCGTCACCACCCCCTCGCAGAAACGACACTTCTTCAGAGTGGTCCATAGGAAGGTGCTGGTGAAGAACTCCCCTCCTGGTAGCTTCACATGGCACTGAGGAGTCTGCTCTATTTGGCTGAACAGCTTCGGATGTCACGCTCTCCCAGGTGTCCGGTGTCCGTTCACTCCCATTTCCTGGCTCCAAGGAAACTAGGTAGCGTCCTTGCTCCTAGTAGTAAGGCCAGGAGCCCCGTTCGTAGCTTCTTGTTCCGTTCGTAGCCGCGCTGCGGTTCGGCTGGTGGAATAGATCCGTCCAGTTTGATCAGGTGGCACTGTATAATATGATTGCCGAAGACCACTGGGGCATTGGCACAGGCGCGATCCGCTGCGCCGGTCGCGTCGTTCTAATGCGCTGGACATGGTGGCTGTGTTGCTTGTCCCGGGTTCTGCGAGAGGCCAGTGGGGATCCACTTCTTTGAAACTTGGAGTGGTTTATAGCTAACCAGTCAGTGGATAATCTGTAACCTTTTTTGGGGATGTGTTTCCGCTCTGAAAACACAATTAAAGGTTGAACATTTGGTGAACTCTTATATTCCAGACTAGCGGACCTAACACCTTTCTGATCAGTCAGTAGACGATACTTTCTGCGAATGGGTTTCATCCAGATCCATCCAACTGTCGACCTATCTTTCCCATCGACCGCCTGCCCCCCCACCCTGCACTCGCCGGCGCTCGCCACCGCTCGCGGCTCGCGGGCAGGGCCTGATTGGGTGGTTTCGGTGACGGCAATTTGCTCTCCTTTGCGAGGCGCCAATCTGTATTGCGGGTTTGGGGCTGTATGGCCTGCAGATAGATGATTGGAGGGGGGCAGCAGGCCATATTGCCTCCAGGCACTTGGGACTTGTTTGGCTAGACTTATGTTGGGTTCTATTATATTATATTTGCCTCCCGTGTGTGGATATAGTACTATATAGTGCGCTGATTTGGTTGGTAAAGTTGATGCTTTGTATGCTTTGTTGGCAACTTGACATAGTTCGTTTAGCGTGTTTGAACCCTTGGGGTCTCGAGCGCTCCGACTTGAACCAGCTCGATCCGTGTGTATTCCATCCGAGGCGTACGGATGGGGGTGGCCAGCGGTTGGCCAGCGGTGGAGCAACCGGTTTGGCCGATCGCTTGGGCCAATTCGTCGCCCTCTTTTACATCGAGGTCATATAATTGAACGGAGAAATGAGGAGAGACAACTCTTCCATACCCAGATACTCGATGTATGGCATATATGAGCCATACATGTTGTTGATTTCAGGGGTCATGTAGCCAACTCTTCCATACATGGATGATTCGGATGGGATATATTGTTGATGACCGCTTGCTAAGTCCCTCCTGTAGGCTGCAGCCTGCCGTTCTTGCTGGGTCTCGTCGAGGTCACTGACGAGGCGTTCGGAACGATATGCGCAAACAGAGGAGACAGATGTAGAGAGTGCCTAATCAGTGTTGGCTGCATGCCCATGTTCCAACAACAATCCAACACATCTAATACAGGCGTGGATGTTCTAGAATGGTAGAATGCCAACACACATCTAGAATGCTATAGGCTATATGGAAACACAAATGGCAATCTACAAGTAACTCGCGCAAAAAAGGACACAAACACAATTTCTATCAATTTGATTAAACAAAATAAGTCCAACTCCACTAATTCCCAGACACTCCATGTGACTGCCATATATACATTGAACCCCCAAACCACCCCTGGCCGTTTCTCGGCAGTCCCAGACGGGTCGTGTCTGGGATGAGCAGCGGAGTTCCCGTGTTGCAGGACGGCTGTACCAAACATTTGGTGGAGCCCGGCTCCTTCACTCATGGAGTCATGGTGCCTTTCATGAATTCGATGCTGTGTCGATGGTGTTTTCACGGCGTGAACGGGGGCTGTTTTGCGAAGGGCAGATGCGAAGGGCTGGCTGATGACCAGTGATTTACACCCGAAAAAGATTAACATGAACTGAAAATGGACCAGTAGAAGAGACCCAGCGGTGTTTCGGGTTGTGAATGTGAATCTTCCAGGGCGTAGGAAGGATTTTATGACTCCTCCTAGCTGTTCTGGCTTGGGGAGTGCTGCACTTGGGTTCTGTTGGGATTTCCTGAAAGTTCGGATGCGGGGGGCGTCGGAAACACACTGTGACGATCAATGCTAAAGGTTTCGTGTTTATAACTTTCACGTCCATGCCTTTAAGTTCTCGATTGCCTCTTAAAAGGGCAAGCTCTGCGTACAACTTCTTGGACCCTCCAAGTACTGTACCTTGCAACATGATGAATATGGGTGATTCTTCCAGAGTACTTCAGAGGATCCAAGTCTTGACTTAAATCCACACACTCACCAGAATCCAGAGTGCTAAAAAACTGGGGAAAAACAGTTTTTCCGAAGTTGACTGAAGATTGCTCACCCCAGTAGTTTCTGAAGTGTTGAAGCACGTTGACACCTGGCTTGTCACTTGTCCGTAAGACTTTCGGGGCAAAGGTTGTGTGGACAATCCCGAGTTCAAGGAGAAACCTCTCCCAGATGCTCCATGGCATATTTACCTACATCGACCCTGAAACCGCCCCGATGTATGTAAATATGCCCGTCCCAGGCAGGTCGTGTTGGGGTCTTGAAGGTATGAGGTTTCGTGGGGGACCAAATGTGGAGACCAAAACACACCGCAGTGCGCGGCCATTCGTAGTATACTATAACAACTATTATAACCCAGACACTCCATGTATGCCATATATGCCTACATTGGGGTGGTTTGGGGGGTCAATGTAGGCATATATATGGCAGTCCCATGGAGTGTCTGGGTAACTAATTACTATAACAACTGCACCTGACACAAATGGCAGTTGAGGCCCGAAGGATGCATCAAATCCAGCGAAGGCGACATACGTTTTGCGACGGGATCCCCGGTCTCCAGCCACAGCGAACCAGTCCAAAGAGTCGGACCAGTCCAAGGAGAGCCCAAGCCCGCCGATTTGGACGGTTCTTCACCAAGGCCGTCTGCTGCCTCATCATCAAAATGCAAGATCGTTGGCCAAGGATGTTCAAGAGACTTGGCACTGGAAATTCTGGCCAAGAGATCACGGATTCGTCCTGACTGCTTTCCGAGGTCAGAGTCAGGTCTCGTATGGTCTTGACGGTCAACTGTCCTTCGAGATCTTTTGAGGGTCTTGTATGGCTTCCTACCCAATCAGTGGATTACCTTTAATCATTAACCACTTGGTATTCATTTCACCACTAAATATGAAACATATGAGCAGAGGGTCAAAGGCCAACCTCTATTTCCAGGAAAACTGAGTATGTTCAATTTAAGGGTTTTATGTTATGGCTATGTATGATGTCACTCGTGTGACTCGTGTCCAAGACTTTACCCCGCTTTCTTGGTTCGGCTTGGTTGTAGCATCTGATGACTTCAGCTTGTGGAATGTAAGCTATCAGCTTCATGTGGCTCCAATTGATCGTGTCCACGGATGGCATGGTGACTTGGTGGATTCTTCCAAAGTGACCTTTTTTTATGACCGACCGCATACCAGGAATGGCCAGGCCATGACCGACCACCCGTTCGTCGCATCCGTCATGTTATCATGTGTCATACACCGAGCTTCGAGCCCTCCGGCTTAACTGGAGGATTCGAGCCCTCCAGCTGTTGAGACCAACGAAGCTATTGAGACCACCAGACTGGGCCAGAAGCACGTAGCGGGGAGGGAGAAGCACGCGGTCTGCCGCTATTCCGAAGAGTCCGAAATGGTCCCATAGTCACCAAAGTGTTCAGTGTTCTTCACCACTTTGAGAGTTCCTATAGAGTTATATGCTGGCCTATAGAATCGGTTCTTCAATAAGTTAAGCGCATGGAAAAGGGGAATGAATGGGATATATTGCCAAGACATGGTCAAACCTTGGGATGTTGATGCATGTTGGGGGATAGGACATCTGCAAACACCATCCTTTTGGAACGGATTCATTCATACCTGTTTGTTCGGCATTTTCGTTCAACATCCACCGCTTTTTGTTCGGTCTGGGCGCCACAGATTTTTGTGGTGCCTCGTAGCCGAGAAAGTGAGGTCCTTGTACAACATGAAGTCGGACCAATGGTCTGAGCACAACACCTGGAGCAACATGGTTTCGGCTCGGCATCCTTATGCTCTTTCAGGCCGATGGGCGGGGGTTTTCCCATCCAAGGGTGTCAGAATGGGGGATGGCTAGGCAATGGGAAAGGCGAAAACATCATCCGGCTTGGAAAGTGAGCCTGATGTTTCGATAGTTTTTGGTTTGGGAGCGCAGCATATATCAGCACTTTCATAAACGCTTGCAACTTGTCAGGTGAAGCTGGTACATGCAACTCAACTCATTTTGCTCGACTGTGCACCCCCTTTCACTACCCAGAGCTCTCCAGAAGATGGTGAAGGGGTTCCCGACCTTCGCACGCCGTGGAAAGAGGAGTTCAGTACATCAGCAAGAAGAACATTGTGAAATCCAAGCCGGAACATCATCATGCCATGAACACAGCAAGAACAACTCCCGCAGGAAGACCCTGAAACCAGTTCAGCTGCGTTGTTGAAAACTGGAAAACACGTCGCGTCCGCCCCTCCGCGCCGCGCCCGCGACGCCGGCGACCGGCGTTCCGGCGTGGCCAGGCGACAACATGATGAGCGAGATCGCGCCGCGCACGCGGCGCCGCGCATTGCGAGGGCGGATGGAAAACTTGAGCAGCTCGGAGGGAGGTGTCAAGTGGTCATGGGGCTGAGTTTGACGATTGAAAGATATTGAAAGACACACCATGACACCCATGGCAACTAAAACGGGGCTGTGTCATGATTTTATGGAACATGGGTGGGAAAGGTGTTTTTTGTTGTCCAAGCCATTCGGTCCACAACACATGCTGTTTCGGTCCACTCCGGTCACCCCGTATCGGACGTCGGCCGTGAGACCGAGGCAAGACCTACTTGATCGCCATCACCAGCGATGCCTTAGCACCCTTGAGCCCTTGGCACCTGTTTCAGCGCCTGGCTGTGGGGGCATTGGTCACCTCTGGGCTGCTTGGCCGAACTCAGTAGATAGATGGGGGCGTTATTTGATGTTCTCTTCATTTCTCTTCCCCATCCTTTTGAGATATTATGTTGTCTTCTACCTTATGTTCTCTTTATATATCTTATGCTCTCTTATGTTCTCTTCCTTTTAAGATCCTTCTGGGGTGACCAAGCTGCATATCTTGAATTCAGGGTCGCAAGACCCAGGTAGGGCAATCAAGTTTCAGGTGGATACACATCACATGACTCCGTTACCCGGAGTCTACATGACTTGAGCTGGATGTGACTCACCCTCCAAGGTTAAGTCTCTCTACCCTTGTGATGGCCATCCGGCATCGCTCCCAGCTGCTGCGCTTGCTGCGCTCGGCGAAGGCGGGGAAGTGCGTGGAGGATGCCTTTCGATCCAAAGATGAACTGGTTCCGGGCAAAGCGCCGCAGGGTGGGAAGCTAACAAAGAGAACCAGAGCTCAACAGTTTGTCCGGAACCAGCTGCCACATTGTGTCCCGTCGATAAGTTTGAGATCTTCAATCCTTCCAAGCAAAGAGAACAAGCCATAGAAGCCTGCAATTCTGGCGGACAGGGTGGCGTGGACTCCAAAAGAAGGCCAAAACCAAATGGTCACTTTATATGTCACTAGCATTTGAGTAGTTGGTCACAAAAAGGAAATTCTTGGTTCGTTCACTCCGTGGCAAATCCCAAAAGCCCTTCATGTAAGAAAGAGTACATGAACCTTCAGGAGCCCTCCTCACAGGCGTGCAATGTGATGTGATGCCCACGGCCAGAAAAATGGCTCCGCCACAGAGCTGGAGCTAACAGATCAGTGAGCAAAGAGGAAAGATGAATCATGAAAAATTAAGCAGTTCCATGTGTTCATGGTTATTGGTGGGTAGAGCTGCCCATCACTTGGTGTTGCTGAATGGGTGATTGGTATTTGTCCGCTGAATCCCGAAGCCGAAGGTGATTGGTATGTGTGGTTGGTCTCACGAGCTGGACAGCACGTCTCCAAGATCATCTGGATCCATCGACGGATGGGTTCTCCTCTAAGGAAAAAAACTCCTGGCAACAGTGCTTTGTTGATGGACAGGGCCAGCTGTGTTTGTTGCTTCTCCTGAATCTTTATATATCACCTCTAAGTTGAACCTGTTCCAGCTTTGCTTGGGCCATTTGAGGCTCTTGCTTGCTTTCCCTACTGGGCAAGCGAATGAAACGAGCAACATCGAGCAACTGTCAGTTTGCCTCTCTTGGCCGACCAGGTTTTTCGACCGCGGTTGAGCTTGCTGGGCCTTTGTACTTTGGCAAAGATTCCATTTCCCACGGGCGGATTTTGGCCGTGTGGTTGGGATGTGGGAGTTTATGTGTTTTCTTCTTCTGCAAAGTCCTTGACACAAAGAAAAGGGAGACCCAGCCTGCTTACCAGTGTTTTGTCTCACAACGTGTCACTACTGTAGATTCACCTGTGACATCCGGTGACCTATAGTATGATGTTTGTGGGCGCCAAGCTGTTTTGAAGCATATGATACTGATGCGTGTGAAGCGTGTCGTTCGTTTATTTGTTGTTGTTCAATGGTTCCAGCTACGGACTGACAAGTGTAGACCACCAATGAGGGAGCTCAGCAGTCTTAGGTCTTAGGTTGTTTCATGTTGTTTCAATCATCAAGGATGATGATCCCTCGAAGCCACTTTTCTACGAACACAAGGGTACTACTTCCAGGATTGTTGGATGGAAATAACTCAAGAAAGAATCATAAAGAATCACTGTGTCCTTCATTCCGCAAAAAATCAACCAGGTCTGGCGTTTTTTTTCAGCCCCCGTGGTCTCCACCTGGGCTTGTAACTGCTGGCGTTTGACCGAGGTTCCCTTCTCCAAATGGGTTGAATGGCCCCGAGACGGTAGATCACCGAGGCTTGGCACTCCTGGCGGTGTTGAAGAGAAAGCAATGGAGGCTCTATGAGTGCCCGGGCAGCATCGAGAGAGGTTGACACGAAGAAAACAAGGTTTCCTGATGAATCAATGAACCAGGTGGGACCATGAAACCCCCGGTGCCGGGAAGAAAAGCAAAAAAGAGGAGGAGGGAGAAGTCAGTCATGATCATGCTGGTAGTGCGTCTACGGATTTGCTGAGGAATAGTTGAATTGATCTGAATTGCATATGCCGGGCAGCCCCCAAGTTGGTATATCGAACACTTTTCCTTTGCAGCTCCCGGCGGTCCCGGCGTCAAAGGAGTTGCACGTTCCGAAAATACGATGATCCGCGCATCCGCGCACTCAGGCGGCTGCTGCTGTTCTTCAGACCTCTGATGTATCGCCACTTGGAACGCTGAGACAATTTGGCGCGCGCCCAGAAGAGATGGGGAGCCTGGAAGAGAAAAAAGGATTGGGACTCCTCCTTGTTCACCCAGCCCACCAATAGAAGATCTAAATCTCCCAGATTCTCTGCTTTTCAGGCAGCGCAAGCGTTCCTGTACAGAACACATGAAGCATTTTGACCAGACCCCCACGCTGGCCCGGAGGGGTCGTCGTTGTTCTCGGGTACGAGGCCTTTGTTTTTGCCCCAATGCATTCCAGTTCCCTCGCAGTCACAGGTCATTCAGCTTTCTTTTCAATGTAGGGAGTCGACTAGAGAACTTGGAAGTTCGAACATACTCAGAGAAGAAAAACATCAAACAACCCATTGGTTGGGGTATCTCCCTATCTAGATGCCATAGACAACCCCGCAATACACGGATTGTCCACTCTTTTCACCGGGCAGAGCGACTCCAGCAAGTCACCAGGGCCGCAGCACGAGGCATGGTCCGGCCCTTGCTGCGCTTAAGCTCCTGGTCCGTGCACCGCGCTGCAAAGGAGAGGGATCGAGCGGATGATCACTTGCCTCTGGAGGTAGTGGGTGGTGCTGTGGCAGAGTGATGCACCAAAGGATTCGCTTGCAGAATGCTTAAAGGTACTGTCAGCGAGAGGACAGTGTTTGGGTACTGCCCCAGAGAGAGGACAGTGTTTGACTGGGAGGTCCTGGATGCTTTGAGTGTGAGGAAATGAACCTCAACAACAAAAGGTTGCTTCTATTCGCCTCAAGCTTGTTGACTCCAACCTGACTCAATCTCAGTGAATCTCAAAGACCCATTTTGGTCTATGTCTGGAGAATGCCCAAACCACCGCTGGGGATTCAAGCCAAAAGTCGGATTTAGCAACCACTTCAGCCTGGCCATGGGGAAACACCTTGAGCGATCGATGCGTTTGGTCTTGCAGGACATTGCATGCGCTGTTCGGTATGTCACAACGTCCCATTGCCTGTAGCAGTCGATGAAAGATGATCACTATTTGGGAGATCTCGGCCTGCAACCAAGCCCCATCATCATCCACTGGGCCCTGGGAATGGAATACTGGGCCCTGGGAATGGAATATACCTGATACCTAATTTTATTGACAGTTTGTTGATCCAACTCTGGGAGAAGGGTCCCTCCTATATTTGAGAAGATGGATGACTATGTCAGGTCCTCGGTGTGATGGAAGACCATGACCATGTCGCCAGGATTTTCACCGGGGAATATATTCCCCCACACCCCTGTTGACAACAAGCAAGCAGCAGAAGACATGCGATCCTCCTTTTTGAAGAGGAAGTTACAAAGTTCTGTTTAAGAGCCCTTTATTGACCCTCCAAGACCCGTAGATTCTCCGGAGAAGTTCCCACCCCACATGTCGTTCACTTCCTCCTCACCTGGTTCTTGTTTTTGCTCCGGCAACGGCACGAGGAGCTCTCGCCCAAGAGTGCCCTGGTGGCTTCGGATGCGGAGCAAGGCGCGGTCGGTGACCACAGACGGTGGACTTTGACCGTGGTGGTCCGTTACCCATTACTGTGGTGGTCGGTATTACCGCGTGGTTTGATTTTTTTTTGGGGGGGGGAGCAAGATGGGCACGATCGACGTGTCAAGAAACAGAGGAATACGGCAAATCAAATTATATAAGGATCACGAAGACAACGGTCGCCTGACTGACTCAGACGATGGACCATCCAATCGTTGAGTTGTTGTTGGGTTTACAGACGGAAGTCGACGCAGCAGTATTGACCATCGATTTAAAACGATAGGCGTGATAGACTCACCGGAATAATCACGCATGTAATTAACATACCAACATCAGGTCCGTCGACTGGTGAATCACCTAAGGCCTTGCCTGTTTGCTTGTTTGGTTATTTTTCCGTTGAAGCCTCAACCATCGGAAGCTCCTCAACCATCGGACGCCTCTACCGGTCGGTGCCGTCCCCCGGTCGTCCCCCGTGTGAGACCGGGCGACTTGGTCCGACCGAGCTCCGGAGCCGTCGCTCGACTATCCCATAGGTACCCCAGTAAGGCCCTTCGTCGTTGGTCACCAACAACCTCTCTTGGTAGATCTGGGAAAAAGAGGCAGACCCGGCCGGGGCCAAGTGGGCAACTGAAAAAATGGAGCGGTCCAAGTTCGTGATGGAGAGCCACAAGACATGTATGTTCTCACGGAGCAACATGCATGAACCCATTCCTCTATTTGAGGGATGTCAACCTACCATGGTGAGCGTGGGCCCTTTGGGTCGTTGGACCGGGAATTGATGGAACCGCGGGCAGATTGGTTTCAATGAGTTTCCAACACAACATAAAGAACCTCAATTCGAAAAAGAATAACCCATCTCCATACATGTTGCACATTGATATTATGTGTGCTTTTTTTTTTTGCAACATCAGACTCTCCATTTCTCTCTCCGCTCGGTTCCATGGTTGTTCCTTCTTTCATCACCAGTCACTCGCTCAAATCCCTTCGGGACGCCGCGACCGCCGCGGGAACAACAAGGCGCCAACGATGGGCTCATTGACACCGTGGCGCAACGATGCCTGGACTGCCCACGCTTGGCCCGGCAGCAGTACCTTGGAGAAAAGGAAGGGTGAAGCGATGCCAGTGATTTCAAGGGGAAGTGATGTGGGTGGAGATGCGGGTAGGCGGGTCGGCGGGTGCAGGATGGGTGCTTTTCCTGCACGGGCGTTGGGAAACGTTCCCGTCGACCAGACAGATCGAGTTACGAAAAGGAACCTCTTGGAACCTGAGGGCGAAATGATATGCTTGTATGACTTGGCTACTTGGCTGTGTGTTTTTTTGTTCGAATCCAAACGCCTGAGCCGCCCTTTAGCACGAACCGGGGTCATCCAAGGCAGCCAGGCGGCCGGCAGAACCGCTCCGCGCTGCACGTGCCGCAAGCCAGGTGCGGCCCGGTGCGGGCGCGGCGTGGCGAATGGCGACCCGGTGACCCGGCGGTGCCGGTGAACACGTCCTGGTCCTCGTGCTTTGGTGTATGACCAACTCCAAAATGAGGTCCAACTGACCTGTAGGGATTTGTAGGGTGATGTCTAAGAAACTGCGTTGGTCATTTCCAAAACCAAATAGAAGGGGCGGGCTCTCATAGACCTTTGTAGATTGTGGACACTCCAGAAGACCAACGCCCTCGTGTCAAACGAGGTGTGTTCCGCCAAAGCATGTTTGTTGAAGGGAGGGTGCCCGGGTTCTTCAACAATTCTCCAACAAACATGGGCCAATATGGGTGTATATTTTACAGTAATAGGGAACCCTCGCACCTTTGGGTTGTGATTCTTTCCTTCTTCCACACACAATATGGCTTTGGTGTTTGCTGCCCGTGGAAGACCATGGTCGTAGAGCGTAATAGTTGCTGTCCAAAGCACTGGCAAAATGGATTGTGAATGGTCCGAGGTCATGTTGGGGCCATCAGCTTTGTTTGAGTTGTCATACGAAAAAACCTAGAAAGGTTCTGCGGATGGTACACGTGGTTTTGGAAAAGTATGCAATTTGCTCAGGGCCACTCCAAAACTATATAGTTTCTGCATGTTCCATCAGGCTGTCATGATTTAAGACGTACTGAAGTATATACTGTTCAAAGAGAGCACAAAGAGCGCCAACTAGCCCTAAACAACCAGCTTGTCGAGTTCTGATCTGTGGGGGACCCCTTGTTGCTTTGTTGAACGAAAAAAGGGTTGTGGTTTGTGTTTGGTTTGGTGTTGTGTTATGCACTTCCAGGAAGGTGATAGTCATGCAGAAAGTGACACCACGCAGACTTATATAGATAAATTGGGCCTGTGGCCTTAGTTGGATCATGTTTGGCAACTTTGCTGTGGTTTGATCAGATGCCCATGTCAACATCCGGATTAGTGCAGATAGTGCAGAGTTGTGTTGAACCCGCAGCAGTTACTTTTCTGAACGACTGGCAGCTCGGAGCCGCGGAACAGGTTTCATGCCTTGGCGCGAGCATATTCGGCCGAGCATGTGGAGACATGGCCTGGGACGGGGAGTGGGATTTGCAATCTGCACGCAGGCTGGCCTGCAATGCGACCAGTTGACTGTAAGCATTTTTGTTGGCAAAGGAAGTTATGAGTTTGTTCAATGAGTTCTTGTGCTTGGTGGTAGGTTGCTTAGGAGTGCAAACAGCTTCGGGTTTTCTCTAGGATACCCATATATAGCTGGCCGCTGTTTCCGCGCAGCGGGCAGTTCGGGAGATGACACAAAGGCATTGATGTTTGGATTCAGGTGTGAAAGACCGTGACCCTCCACCGGGGCCCGCCAGCGATCCTCCAATATCCCCCATTTTCTAGCTCATCCGGGAATCATTTCTTTGCCCAATCAGTGGCCTAACGAGCTCACCGGCTTTCACCTCTTTGGGAGATAGGTCTGGAATGATCGCCCTAATGGAAAACAACACAATCACCCATGGAAAAAGAAACAACAGAACCTAATTGGCCAACCCAAGTTGCAGATGGCCATGCTGAGTTACAGATCGTCTAAGGATCGGGAGCAAGCAGAGGAGCAGCCATTGCAGCGTGGAAGGTTCGTCTCTTGTGGGTCGGACGGGTTGCCCATCGAATGGATTCGGCGTGGTGGCGAAAGTGGTGGCGAAACGATCAGACATTTGTGGCCTGCCTTACTAAGCTTCATGTCAAAGAACTTCACTTCTTACTACACTGAGAGTTTTTTGCGACTGAGATAGCTTCACAAAGATGTCCAAAAGATCTATACACTCCCTGAAATCATCATGGTTTCGTGGATGGCACCACCTCTTTGGTCTTCGGATTTCATGGTCATTTGAACTCGGGGCCATCCCATCCACGTTGGCCCATGATTCTATCATGGTTTCGCGCACCACCAGTACAAATCTGATTCGGCTGAGTCTGCTTGACTGCCCACGAACGTACCCGTGGTTCGTCAATGGGAATGGGTCAACACCTGGGTACCGAACGGTTCACCAGAGAACATGAGGAGAATGGACGACCTACAGGAGATCCACCTGAGCTGTGGGTCCAGCGGGCTGTTTGGGGCTGTTTGGGAGCCACAGCCAGACCGAGCATGACAGACCGCTCGGAACCCGCTGAACCGCTATTCGTCGAAGAACCTGCCAGGTGGCATGAGTGGCCTGGTTAGGGAAGAGCCGAGGGAAGAGCCGAGCGGACCCATTTAATGGGGGAGAGCTGACCCATTTGCTTCCGCGAGGAGTGAGGAAGATTCTGAAAGGGTCTAAGAGGAAAATCACTCCGAATGATCTTGAACTGAATGTAACTTGTAAGTGCAGTTGCAATCATTTGCACAATTAGCTTTATGAGCCAAAGAATTAACTATTCTTGTGTTGAAAGAACATGATTTGCACCAAGCGGGATTGGCTCATTATCCAGGAGTGAGATGGGCTGCTCCCTCTTCTACAGTCTACAGTATCAATAGCTCACCATCTTTGCAAGCAATATATATATATAAGTGAACCAGTCCAAATTCAGATCTATGAAGGTTCCGAATTATAGATCTTGTAACATAGTGGAGAGTTTGCTCATATCAATATATCTTGGGTCTGTCCTATTACCTGTAACAGTCAGTAAACAATGATCACAATCTTTGGACAAGGCCTACTAACCATCATGATCATCCACTGTTACAGGTAATAGGATAGACACAACATATATCAAATATTATACACATCTATTCTATAGTGTTAAACCTCGTATAATACTTACCATAATATCATTAACATTGATCAATCTTCACCAGTGGACCACTGGGGCCCGTTTGTTTTGTCCCGGTTGGTTTGGTCTCCATTGGATTCGGACCCCATGAACATGGCCCTGTGGTTTGGGTCATGCTACTTCCATTCATCCAACTCACATCCACAATTCCACTAGTATTTTGGACACACATAGCCTTGACTCCTGTCACAGCATGGGCTCAGTGGTGGGCGAAAGCATGCGAAAGCTGTAAGTGGTATCAAAGAACGGTGACAATTTCCCAAACCCACAACGTCCAGAAAGCATTCAGGAAGTTCTAGTTGTTGGAATGGCAAATTCACCCCATGTGAATTGACAGAAATACTCAATCCTTGGCCACAAGCAATATCGGTTTGCCTCCGTTTACGACATCTTCATAATTATCCTCTTCATACCCCGATATATATAGCACAGTGTTCCCATGTTCGGCCCTGTATGGGATGTATGGATATGCATATAGGGAACGCGAGGAGCAGATCTCCGTTGACAGATCTATAGTGGACACCCGACCATGTTCTTGTTTGGACATGTTTGGACCAACAACTTCTTGGTCTCAACCAACTACCACCAAGCCAACTGCCGACGTCTCCACGGGCCGCCATCATTGGAGCTTGGGACCCAAAGCATCGCTAGTGATGGCCTCCACCTGGAAGCTTCTAGAGTTACTAGAAACCTTTATTGTAACTAGTAGCGATTGGCTCCAGCCTACTAGCAATGGCCTCCAGCCTACATATTAGCAATGGCCTCCAACCGAAAACGATGGCTTCCAACCTAATAGCGACGGCCTCCAACCTAATAGCGATCGGCGATGGCTTCTAACCTAATAGCAACGGCCTCCAACCTAATAGCGATCGGCGATGGCTTCCAACCTAATAGCGACGGTCTCCAACCTACCAAGGCTTCACGTGCCCAACTCCGATCACTCCTTGGGGACTTGGCCACTTCGTCAGGATCATGACGCAGTCGACGTGAGTGGTTCGGCGCGCCGTGATCGTGTGTGTGTTTGTGTCTCCCGCAGTCAAATCAGATCGAATCAGGTGGAAGACGTTGTTTTCATGTTTTCCCAGAAAGCTGAGGGTACCGACCGGCTGTTTGCTTGGCTGTTCCAAACGGCTGTTCCACTGGCTGGTCGGGCCCTATACAAGAGAAAAGGCAGAGGATTGTGTCCCACCGAGCGAAATTGGATTCAGTTGATCAAGTTATTTCATCCAGTGACAAGATCAAGTAGAAGACACGAAAGGAACTGAAGGTCTCAACTTCAACACCTTTTTTGGCAAGTAAGAGCAACTGTACCTAGAGTGGTTCATAGTCAGACTAGTAAGAGTGGTACAGTGTTTGACATTGTTTGACAGCATGGAGGATTTCTTGCATCCAGGGTCTGAGACACAATAGTGCAAGGGCCCCCGCTGCTACCTGTAACGAGAGTGCCACCCTTGGCGCACAAACGAGGCAACACTGTCGATGTTTGATATGCCATGACATACCTCCTGCCAGACCTGCCACAAATTTGGGTTATACAATAGCTATATATATAATATATAGTATTGCCAGGCCAGCAGCCATCAGTAGTAGATCCACAACACATTGCAGGGAAACTTTATCCTCGATATACAGCTGCATTGACCAAGAACCCATGGGGTTCCCAAGCCATTACAAGGAATATAGAATATAGATTTATATACGTGTTGCAGATGGGCCAGATGGGTCTGTCAACCCAGTGGTCAACCCAAATCCAGGGTCCACGGACCGGGTCGACTGGATCTGTGAGGTTCGATTGCCACCACAGCGAGAAGATGTATGAGACCTGGCACCGTCCCGGACGCGCGGACCGGACTCGATGTCCAAAGCCGAAACCCGCTGTTCTTCCCGCGGGTTTGAACGGAGCGGGAACGGAGCGACGGTTTTATTCGAACTCGAGTGAAGTCCCGAAACTGAGGACGTTTCGAACGAAATCGATGTGAACTCAGGTCGAATTTTTCTACGTTTCCCAACCGTCCCCGTCCAAAGTCTGTGGTCTCAGGTTGATGGGCGAAGAGACGAGTCGGTGGCTTTTTTCGAAGTGAAAAAGATGAAAAAGGGCGAAGCTCTTCACCCTGAAGAAACGGCTAGAACTCTCACCACCAAGTCGACCAACTCTTCATCCCTTGTTCATCCCACTCACGTAGGGTCCATGAAATCAGTTTCGGCCCGTGAAGTCAGGTTAGATATGGTTAGATCGTGAAGTCATGTCGGCAACTGAGTGGCCAGGCAACGAACGTAACTCGTTGCCACATCGGGTGATCATGGCTTCACTGATCGAGAAAACACAGGTTCAGCATTTCTCCCGGGGTTCATGGGTTCACCTTGTATCCATGAGCCCTCAACCTTGCATGGTATCCTCTATATTTGGTGTAATTAAACCAACCAAAAACATATGACATGTATACAGTAACTATCTATACACAGTCTACACCTGCTGAAGAGTTGCTGCAGATGGAAAGTTTGTTTCTTTTTGGTCATCTTCAAAGCAGACCCTTGTCAAACAACAATAGGACACCCAAACAAATCAACACATCTCCTTCTTCTCTTCGTGGAGAAAGGTAAACATGATACAATTATGCGAATTCACAAGACTGTGGCGTGCTTAGCACGAGACAGATGGCAGGAAAACGACAGCAACAATCGCAAGATGTCACCAAGAGTGTTGGTGGGTTGGTGGAGCCCCATTCTGGAATGTTCTCCCCAATCCATTTCTTGGTTCATTTACAATTCCCAATGCTTGGAAGACCATTCCAAATGATGGCTTGTGAGATTCCCAGGTCACTCTACTATGTTGTATCCAAGGTATATCGATATGTCATGTCCCATTACCAGTAACGGTCGGTACAAGATGATCACTATTCTGGCCAAATGGCTCTTTACTAACGATCATCATCCGCTGCTGCTGGTAATGGGATACAATGTGCCTGGTGCATTGTCCGCCGCTTGAGGATCATCTCTTCAGCATTCTCCGGAGGAGGATGCACTGAGTTTCGTGTCCGGAACGTGTCGCAAGCAGCAGATTTACCAAACAACCACAACTATGCCAGCACTACCCTCATGGTGGTTTATAGACCCCCTGAAGACGATTGAAGACGTATTTTCCATCTAATGACCACATTGGTGTAAGCAACTTAGTTAATTAACCAACCCAGGTTCGTTCCTTGCTAGTCCTCACCGATGTTCCTCTCTAAAGTAAGGAAGCATGCTGAAGGAGATCTGGCACATGGCGTTATTCGGCACTCTATCAGGACATGTCTGACCTAACAGAAAGTGCTGCTGCTCTCACAGAGACCTAAAGAGACGCCCCTGAGCTCTCGTGGTGTTTCAATCAATTCATTGGCGACTAGAGGTTTTGACCGGAGGCTACATGGGTTGCGGTTTAGACATAAAGCCGTGGTATTATATAGTCTAAAATACCCGGCAGGGTGACGCCAAAGATAGACACTAATATTGATGCACAATGGAGTCACCGGTCTAATCTTTTTTGGGGACCGCTATAGACTACTAGGTTCCCTGCATGCAGATTGACAACGACAGTCAGGAGGGACACAAGGCGTGATGTTCAGCTCTGAGCACTTTGGAGGATTTGCAAAGCAGACATGTGTGCAAATGGCACCTTTTGACAGATAGGGTTTATAAACGATCTATTTATATATATATATATCCCTCAGATGATAGAGTCGAGCATGGACATTTGCAACGTGACAATCTCCTGGACGACTGTATAATTAATATTGTTGTGTGTTTTTGTCATAAATCTTGAACATCCCCATGTATGGCCTCTGGTACCGATGGTCACACCTGCTGGCTTTCAAACTGGAGCACTGCTCTCAGAATCCGCCGCAGAAGACAGATGCAAATCCCGGAACATAGCGGACTGATTTGTCATTTGTTGTCATTCGTCTTTCAATTATATAGACACCTTATGGCAACAGCCATCGTCACGTTGGAAGAATGGCCAAGTTTTCCTTCGGGGGTGGGCTTTTGTCTCCCACGACCAGGCTCTTCATGTTCCAGTTGAAAGCCAATTAACTGCCTGAGAGGCTGATCGACGGATCTTGTCCTCCAAATGGCTTGTTGTGCGCAAAAACGACTCAGCCACACCGTGATTGGGGTAGTGGAATTTGGTGGATTCCGCAATCTGTAAGAAATGGGAACGAGAAGGCGGTCAAGAAAGAAACCATGAATTGTTCATCCAATCACTCGTGTGACTGAAGCACGTGTGTCTCCACAACCCTATACATCCCTACATCATCCATACAATATCGTTCACTCTTATCCTGCGCAAGCCGGGTGCCATGCGTTGGGTGCCATAGCTGTGGCTGAGCAGCTGGGGCGGCTTGGCTGCTAGGTGGCTGGCGCTGCCAGAGTCATCGATCTGGCACTTGGCCTAGCCACTGAAGCTATTTGGAGCTATATAAGGAAGACCGGTGGATCCCAATGGCTTAAGTGAGAGAGATGTGGAGACCAATAGATAGAAACAATGAAACAGGATCTTGCTTTGAAAGGGGACATGGCATTGTAAAAGATCGAATCCATTGGTTTCTTGGCTGACTTGTTCAAGTTCAATTGTGAAGCTCACTTGTTGTATTTCTTGGGATCACTTTGGTTTCCTCTCAGTGGCAGTGACGGCCGAGTCCACTGGCTCCTTTGGCAGTTCAGGAGCCCAGGCCTGTGGAGTCCTTTGATCGTTCGGGAGGATGAGCACCATTAGGTTTCTCTTTCCATTGTTGGGATGCCTTTGCCGCAAGTGGACAAACCGGCAAGGCAGTTGCAGACCACCAGTGCCTGGTGCCTCCATGTGCCTCCTTTTTTTTCCTCTGCAGAATCAAAAGCGCGCCTGACTGAATCCAAGTCAGCAAAGATCCGCATTTTTTGGCTGCCGTGGGGAAAAAGAGATCCGTTTGCTGTGGTGAAAGGTGCCTGCGACTTCAAACGGCTTTGTAGAAGGCAGAATAGCAACCAGCCTTAGTATCCTTTGTATCAAAGCAGCTTCAAACATCAGGAGCTTCGTCAGCTGACCCTTCTGGATATCGTTGCAGAAGATGCGGCAGATGGAAAATACAGAAGCAGCAATCAGACACCAATACGATCAGTGTACGGCACTACCAGGGAATCGCATCTGAGATCGGCCGTGCACTTCAAAGCGGAATCCCACAGGAACGACCTTGGAATCGGCGCGAATCGGTGCTCTCTCCCTAGGGCGAACAAGTCGTATCTCCTCAGAAGGTATGACTGGACCCTCCTGGCACCCACCCTAAACACCTTCTTAGAAGGTACTTGGAGCCCTAGGGTCTGTGATAGCTGGTCAGCATATTATTTACCACTGCCCGGATGGCCAGGACGAGCCAGTTCTGTCACCAGCTGAGATGCCTCATGAGCTGTTCAGATGGCCAGGGACATGCCGCGGACATGATGGCCAGGGCATTTGAGGAGCTGTGCAATCGAAAAAGAAGCAGTGCAGATCGCTGGTTCGGACGTAGGCGGTCTACCCAGCCAGGGCCAGGGGGTCTCCCTATGAACATACACAAACATACACCGTTTCTGTGGCCTTCCCAGCTTCACGACAGGATTGCAGAACAAGACTTCCAACTCAGTACTTTGATTTTTGCACCGCAGCACTGCTATCGGCATGTAGCATGAAGAAGCAGTGATGTATGCATGTTCCATCAGCTTTGTTCTTCCTTTCTGTATAAATGGATTGATTGCTCTACTTCAAAGATTTGCCCAATCATGAACTGCGCTGTCTCGCCACCTACTTGTGCATCATGGTACGTACCTCTGGTCCATGCAACTCGGAACGTCTCGGGCTTCGGTCCTCGTTTCCCTGAATCCGTTGACGGTGACCGGAGCAGACCTGGTCGTTCTGAACGGCGATGTCTCGGCTGCCAGAGAAGGCTGCGGCAGGCGTTTGGCGCGGCATGTGGCAGATTGAACATGCCAGCAAAAGATTGAATTGACGGAATCAGTTGTTCCACGCGAACAAAAGACACCAGAGCTATATATATATAGACTATAGATAGATATTGAGGACTTAGCACCATGAGCTCTCAATAATTAGATGATACTTTGCAGGAGAAGCCCGACACGACTCTTCATATCATGTCGAATGTTTAAGTGGTTGTTGACGACTCCTTGCCTTCGTTTCAATCAGACCTCAAACAGATCCGCATGCGACTCACAGACTTTCCACCTAGCTGAGCGACGCATGGCCCTTTTTAGCCATGTTGCATCATGCCTTGTTAGAAGGGGCAGAGGCTGGTGAAGCCAATGGGCATGAGGAGCTGGGGCGGTATGGGGCGGTGGTTGTATTGGAACAGGGAGAGATACTACATCCCAGCACGGTTGGAGGCTTTCCCTATTTACTTTGTGAAGGGCTCAGATCTTGCAGAGAGAGAGATCCCAGAATGGAGTCCCAGACAGAACATTGTTTCAATTTGCTTCATCTATCATTCGCATGATTGCACCCTTATTTCGGTAATTACATATCGATACCACTTGTGTCACTCTTTGATCTCTCTCCGCAATTTCACCGTTGGCTCCGGGCTCCGCAGGAGTTGGCTCCGGGCTTCCAGCGGAAGGTGCGCCGCCTGTCGCACACATTCCGCACCCGGTCAGTGGATCATTCTGCGCCGGCAGCAACTGTGGAAAGCACCAGTCGCGTGGCCCAAGGCGAAGGTGGAGCGGATATTTTTGGGGAGCCCAGCATGGAAGATGGAGAATGGTTTTTAAGTTTCAAGAAATAGTTGGAATTTTGGAGTGGGTTTGAAATCGGATCAAGAACACGGAGGGAGTGTATCAAAGACTACTCGGCGAATCTCAAGAAATCGACGCTCGGCGAAGCAATGCCAAGCGGGGAAGATCTCTTTCAGATGGTGAAAATGTCTGTGAAAGATGGTCAAGCACCCCGCTCGGCCCCCCATGCCCCACCCGTACTGTTGGTTCAGAATGGAATAATAGACGTCGGGGGCGGACACTTATTGACCAGTCAAGATCCTTCCGTGATTCTGGCTTGAGGAGGCTTGAGGAGAAGGAAAACGGACTGTACGAGGTACAGTGCAGCCCCCCGATTGTGAACCTTGGCTGGTGTATGCATGAAAGATGTAGCAATCATTAACATGTACAACAATGTAATATATGTATTGCGCCAGCTTGTACTAACCATGCATACATGCAATGCAGATTGTTAATTTCAGACAATCTCAGATCTTTTGCCTTTAAAGACTCGGTGACTTGCAGTCACCCGCGGATCAACAACCATCACCCCGGCCTGAAAACGGCGGTGGTCGCGGAATCTGCGCCCGAATTGATCACAAACACCTCCATCAGGGAATTCGACCCTTTGGCGTCCTGAAATAATTGTTATCCGCACCTCGCATCATTTCAGAGCGCCTTGCCGGCGCACGACGATGTCGAACATACGGGTTTGTGGCGCCACAAAGATTCCGGCACCTTCTCCTGTACACTCCCTGAAAGAATCATGGAAGTGCAAAATGAAATCCTCTACTATAGGATCTAATAGGTAAACCTTTCCCGCTTCCATGCTTGCAAAGAATTTCGTGTAAAGGATCAATCCTCCACGACCGACAGTGCGACTGTCTCCACGACCCACACTGCGAGCTGAAACAAGAGTGAATTGGTACGGTGCTTGGAATTACCCTCACCATAATTACCTTATTACAAGAGTGAATTGTTCTTGGAATTCCTCTATCAACAGGCTGTATTCAAACAATCATGGAAGTGTGAATACAGCCTGTTGATAGAGGAATTCCAGTCTTCCACGGGGTGTTCCACTTCCATGGAGGGTGGTCGGTGCCTGGGAATCCCCGAAACTGGAAACGGTCAGTCTATGGTCGCAAAAACTGAGGTATTTTGCGGGAGATTCCTGCTTTGAGCGTGGCAATGTTGATGAGTGCCATCAACGCGGTCAGCTATGGTATTTGGCTGGCACTTGGCGCTGTGTGGATAATTCAATGGTATTATACCGAACTGCCAATTGTGAATCGCTTCATTGAGCAATCTCGGGTTAGATCCGTTAACATTGCACACGCTTGCACATAGCAAGGCGCCAAGTGTGGTGTGTTTGAGTGTTTTCGTTTGCCCAGTTGGTGCCGGGTGGTCGGAAGTGCTTCTACATGGCGCAGCGCCAGGTACCTTGCTCTTTGCCAGCCCTGCGACCTCCCATGCGCCAAATGGCACCGTGATCTGGTTGATGAGCACGATTGGCACCCAGATTGGTACCCTGCTGGTGTCGAACATTCAAAATGGCATCTCTTGCCCCATGCTGGACTCTTGGCACGATGGTTTTTGGGCCGAGTCCGGATTCGAACGGCCGGGAACGACTATACGAAGCCGTAGCCCTTCTGGGGCACGGAACCATGCGAAGTTCTCCAGCTGTTTCTGGCAGTTGGGGCGCTCTGCTAGGGCAAGCATTGCGTCTAGCTGGTGGGTGCTTGGTCATACTTGCAGATGTTGTTTCAGCACTCATCCCTCATTCTATGGTGACTTGCAGGACTCGAGCAAGCTGAAGAGCTATGCCCATCCTTTGAGTAAAGGCTGGCGATATCCATTGTTGGTCGGTTATACATATGGGAGTTGATCGAAAACCCCGTGTAAGGAGTTTTATATAAAACAGCCTTTCAGATGTTGTTAGAACCATCCGCGAAAGATTCGCGATGAGATTCGCGAAAGTATCTTTTTTTTCCGCGAAAGATTTATCGAAGGTCATCGCTTTCATTGTTTTCCTTTCCACCGAACTGACAAAGAATAGAAACGCAAGGCAATCCTCCGGCAGAGCCAGTGGGCGGAAGTGCCCCATATGTCACAGACTAACGAACTGAAGCCTCAACATTTCCGTGCCCAGCCCTGGCAGTGCGTAAAGGATTCTCCGATTCCTGTCCCCACTGTCACAGACTAGCAATCTGGGTAGGCACAGCCCTGACAGTGAGGCAACGACCTGCAGCTGCTCTGACGGGCTGTGCAGATGTTTGCAAATTTTACGGCTTCCCGGGGAAAGCAGCAGTGAAATTTCGCGAAAGATCCGCGAAAGTTTCGCGAATGTACCGCTAAAGTCTAGGTTCCCAGCTTGAGGCCCCCGAGCATTCCCCATGCTGCATCACCCTGTGTTGGCAGCTGACACGAGGATTGGGTTGAGTTGTGCCTGACTCTATTTGGCACAATTGTCTCCCTATTTTGTGATACTATGACATGTTCCGGCTCATGTTAGCTAGACTCGCAGCTAGACATGGTTGTAGGACCATGCTTCGCGATGAGGCCGCGAAAGATATCTTTTTTTCCGCGATGAATGGCCATTCCAGGATGAAAGAATATTGATCAACCACCATATATAATATTAAAATAATAGGATGGCTTAGTGACATGTGACAACATTGTTTCTACACAGGGAATTATTACCACCCACCATCATGATGGTGGTATAAATAAATATATATATATATAGTGCCTACATGTAAAGAGCTTAACCGTATATGAACATAGTTTGTTGGCTACACACCTGCGTTTGCGCCACGATTCTGGGTTCAATCACACCATTCTGTTTGGACACAAAAGACACAGCCATATATATATATGGAATTCTTTGTCGGCTGAGACACTCCAAATGTTCACACCTTGAGGAAATGATTCCCATCATGCACGCCCTGTTTCTCAACATCGCCAGCAAGATGCATGACAGATCACCGGAGGAACTGCAGGCCACATGCTTGGCCAGTTGCTTCGTCTCTAGGCGTGGGACGGTTGTACCGGGCGGTTTTGTTGGGATCAATTGATGGAGCAGATGAGGATTCAGATTGGAGCATCTGATAGATTCAACCACAGTTGTCCCACATTTGCCCAAAAGTTAAGCTCAAGGATTCGACCTGAAAGACAAACTGAAAGAAGGATAAGAAGGTTCCCCCACGCCGGGAGAACTCACTCGGTGTCAAGTCTTTCCAGTGTGTTAGCACGGGGGTACTAAGCCACAATGATGCAGTCAACCCCATAGTATATATATATATATGTTACATTATAACATATTTTCCAGTGGTCCCCAAATACTGTAGATAGTGGCACCGTTCCCAATACCTTTTGAGTGCGGATCTACTTGTCTATCTATTTGGCTGTCGATACCTTCAGTCAGCAAGGGCGCCATGCTGTACGTGCCGAGGTTTGTACGTTCGGTCTCGGTGTGGGGCTGCTGATCGGCACGCGCCTGGGCCTGGCCAGCTATCTTCGCGCCGTGCCCTTGATCGTGCTGAAAGGTCCGGGATCAGCTAACTATGGGGTGACTATGGGTGACGGAGCGAAGGAGTTGGACGGAGCGAAGGAGTTGGACTGAAGTGAAAAGCACCCCACAAATGCATGAAGTGTTGGACTGAAGGATGTGTTGGGTGTGGTGGAGCTGGAGAACATGGCTTCATGTTTGGGCCATGAAGATATCAATTGCCTTGTATCATTGTTTATTGCCATCACACGTTCAATCTTTTGCAAGCACCAAAACATGGCCCAACTCGTATAATTAACTACTATACAGTTGTAGTATGTATATATAAATATATGTGTATATTGTCCTTTTTGTTTTGGCACCCACCAAGTATACATAATCTGAAGAGATCCCTCACTAAGTTAAGTGGGATGGCCTTGCATCATGTAAGGTGTTTTGACCACCTACTGTAGCCAATGCGACACTGCCTGCGGATGTTACAGAATTGTTCAGCTGTTTGGGACCAGCACCTGGGTGCAGCTCCACCCAAACCATCCCAAGCCTAAACCCCCTAGCCTTATTAGACAGTGCCTCATGGCTACTGCTACTGCAGGTGACCATATTGGTGGCCCCCTGTGCAACGACTCTGACAGTATAAACACTCTGACCCAGTAGTGTGAAAACATATCGAAACCCTTCCAAAGGAAAAGGGTATCTATGTCATGTCAGTGAACTGGAGAGTGGGCCCACACTTAGCACTGGGCCCGGCCCTAAACGAAACCGCATGGCCCGACAGGTGCATTGTTCGGGGTGGCGCTCTTTTTGATGTCCAGTTGCTTGAAGGCTGGGTGGACCTGCTTTGGAATACCTTCTCATCGGTTTAAGCAGACCATCTCCGTTTCAGATTCGTTATCCCATCTGAGATTGGACCAAACGTATGTTTTGGGTCGGCCCGCCCCCCGGCTCCTTTATTCCAAACAAATTCATATAACCATGGACCATAGATGTTCTCCATTACCCTGACACTATGTATGTATGGAATCTATGCCACCGTTATGCCACCCTATTGACTCCCGTTTTCACCACCTTGGCCTCTTCTCGGTCGCCAGTCCGGTCGTGTTTGGCTTACAGCTTAATGCGAAGACCGGATTAATAACCCGCGCCCCCACATGGAAGTATTACTAGCGGAGGTTTATTACTCCTATGTTTGCATTACTCCTCTGGTTTCTAACGCCGGAGCTCCCGTGCAGGTCTCGTCCGGAGACATGGATGTCGAACAGACCCACTTGTGGGCGCCGGCTGTGCTTCTGGGGCTGGCTCTCTTTGCAGTGGATGAGGCCAGTTTCGGCGACCCGAGCAAGACCGGTGGAGGGTGGTTCAAGCAATGAGGATACAGGATACCCTAACAAAAATCCTTCTGGTCATGAACATAGATGTGGAACATGAATGAGCACGACCTCTTCTTTCGAGGATTGTAGTCTTGAGATCCAAGTTCAGTTCATCCACGTTCATGTTCCATGTCTATGTTAATGAATGATCTGCAGTGTTGGTATCAAAGCTGAGGAAACACATAGTGACATAGTGACTCAATCACTGGCAGGGTTTCACACTGCTTAGTCATGAGCAATTTCGACACTATTTATGTTTTGGTTTGGGTCAATGCTTGGGGAAAGGACCACATGTAGAGTATTGACATCCGCTACCCAAGCAACTATGACCCAAGCCGGCACCAAGAGCCTTTAGATCAGACTTTGACTGGAGCCAACATCAATGAAAATGCAGGATCTCGATTTTAGACCACCTGATACGAAGGGTTGAGGGTGAAGAAGGGGGGCACTCATCTTTCAAGATGGCAGGCCATTCATTCGCCCGTGGCCATCGCCCTCAGCTCCTTGGCCGAAGCACTGAGTTTCGAGCAGTTCAGCCTGGGGCCACAAGAAAAGAGGGTTTTCATGGGATGGCTATAGGCTGTAACTCACTCTTAACCTTGGAATGGGTTGCCCATGTGCACGGCAAAACACACCTGATGCCAGAAAAGATCCCTCACACTCAGGTTTGCTGGCAGTGGGTTTGATTCCAAGCTGCTTGGATCTCTTGAACATCATCTCATTGAATGAGCTCCAAGAGAAAGGCTGGTGCTTTCAGCCTGGGAGCATTGCTACAGAAGCATGGTGACTGGGTCGAAGACATTGTTTTTCTGCGGAAGAAGCGATCACCGTTGGAACTTTGCAGAACGGTTTGGTCTTGTCTCAAGGTGATGTGTTTAATGAAGAGTAGGAGAAATCCATCTACTCCAACCAGATGGTTTTGCACTGGAAAAAGTCCCAAGATACATCTGCGAATGACTGAACCCACTGGATTGAGAAGTTGAGGGCTTCCTGAGGCCAGAGGGAAATATAGGCAACTCCGTGGCACATTGATCCTGGAAATTATTTGGCTGGTTGGTTGGTTGGAAGATTGAGGTACATGGAGGTGGCAAAAGCCTACAAATCAGCGTTTCTCCACATTGATTGGATGGTCATCATTGAGATCATGCCTGCCATGGTGGGTATCGCTGCTTCTGCCTCGTTGTTGATGCTGCTTGGTATGATCCAGGGTTGCGCATCCTAGCAGAGCTTTGTGGCCTTGGTGCTATATTTAAATTTTGTTAGCATGCCTCCAACCTAAGAGCAATGGCCTCCAACCTAGGAGCGATGGCCTCCAACGTACTAGCGGTGGCCTCCAACCTAGAAGAGTAGCCTTGTTCAAAGCATGTTTGGACATCTGTCAGCAGCGAACGCGCCGAGGTTGATGGATTTGAAGGCGGTGGAACTGTTGACTGAACGAGAGTTCAGCTTAGACAAAGAGCTTCGTAGTATTGGTGTGAGCAACCTTCTCAGTGCGCTCTGTGGCCCGGCACCTCATTCAGTCGGGGCCTGTTTGGGGCGGTCCGGGGCGACCGGCTTGGTCACGAAGGATGGGCACCGAGCCATGGCCGACTCGAAAAAGGTAGAACGGGCTGTGTGTGTCCCCAGGGCGTCCGAGGCATTCTCAGCATTTTTCTGGATCACCAAGAACACAGACGTTTGTTTTGCTAGCATCGTCAAGCCTAGAGATTCAGGAGGCAAGACTCCTTCGCCCACTTAGGTGGAGGAGGGTTTCCTTGCTACATCCTTTGCTCTTTGAACGTCACCTGCCATCGCTTGGGGGGTCGCAGTGCCTTGATTGGAGTCTCCTGGCGAAAAGAAAAGGCCACGTTGGTCTCCTGGCGGGGTCAATCTCAAGGTGTGTGAATCCCTGGCAATTCACATCAATTCACGAGGACCAATGGGTGTGTTGACGTGTACTATTTTAATGGGGAGATGTCCTGGCCAAATCCAAATGGGTTGACTGGTCTATTGTCCTTCTTCCCAGGGGTTGGGGTCGAATTCTAGTAGACACCCATGTGGTGTTTGTGTTCAAGTGTTCTCTGAGTCTCTTGCCTTTGGGCTTCTATCAGCTTGGCATTGGACATGGGTCTGGTAGATTCCACTCACCAAAAACTCAGTTCCGTTCTGTGCCAACATCCACAGGCCGAGGCAGCTCCAGCTCACCCGCCACCGTTTTGGGATTCCAGCATTTGCGCCACCGAGGTGGGCTTGACTCTCAGTTCGACCTGTTGCCTTTTCGTGGTGTCCAATGTGGTTCCTCATCTTCCAAGAGCATTGCCGGGCGGTCTTTTCATGTGGCTGAGCCTGGTTTTCGCCAAAGAGACCATTGTGGATATTTGCTCCAAGCATCTCGACACCAGACCTGCACTGTCAAAAGGTTGTCGTTTGATTGCGGTGATTTTCTTCAGAAAGGTTACCCAGAAAGGTTCCAAGAGTAATGCTCGGAATGTGGGAGTTGGGATGGCATCCAATTCTTTGCTATATAATCTGCTGTAAATCAAATTGGAACTTCCACCCCTTTCTTTTCCTACAACCTCCCACGCCACCCCTTCTTGGACCTCCCACGCGTGTTCCAAGCTGCAGGTACACTCACATCTCTGATGTCTTCATTGTGGCCATTATGGCCTTGGTGGTGAAGTTCTATAGCTTCAACGATGGGCTTTTCGTGGGAACTCTGCTGGCCATGAGCGTCTTCACGGTGCGCTACTCCGGGTCCCAAGCGGGCGTGCGCACCTCCGGGGATGCCCGTGGCGTGGACCGGAGAGGGGCCGAACGGAGAGGATGGAGAGGGTGGAGAGGGCAATGGAGACGTGAAGGATGGGGATCCATGTAGAGGCACCTTTGTCGAAAAGGTCATGGAGAGACGAGAAGATCTCTATCGAAGGCCAAAGGTGTTTTTGTGACATGATTGATTTTGTTGGGTTGGCATAGCTGGACTGAAGAGTGGGCTGAAAACGGCACTGATTCTATCACAGTGGTTGGGGATACTCAGGCTGTTGCTCAGTGCGGTGCTCATACATTCTCATCTTTGTCATCCAAACAAAACCGATTCCGCTTGATGTATCTGCAGATGGATTCTTTCACTCAAGGGGGCGAGCAATCGGTTGATCCATCGGGTGATGGATCCTTGGCTTTTATCCGGTGTAGGACACATCATCAAAGCATGTGTTTGCCGTGTTGATGGAGCCTTCCCTTTTCCTGAGGCTTCTATCGATCCATTTGTACCCGTGATGGCTTCGAGCATGAAGCACTGGAACAATTGGGACACCTCATTGCAGTGGTCCATGTGGAAGGCTTCCTCATGTTTGGCTCCACGCCTGCCTTCACAGATGCTGTTGCTCGTCGGGTGGGGTCGAAGCGGCCAAGAGAAGACGGTCCCAAGCAACGAGGTTCCGGCCGTGGTCGGACATGAGACGGTTCCTTCTAGCTCAGGATTCTTTTAGGTAACTCATGGTAACTCATGGTTTTTGATGACATTGTTTAAAACTACTGTTATTAGTTAAACAAACTGTTTTGTTTAGTTAGTTAACTCATTAGTGAACTCTGTTGGTTTGACTGTTTTCATATGGTAACTCTGCTGATTTGCCTTGCTAAACCTCTTTCTCACACTCTTGCTGTAAGTGCCTGGCCATAGGACTAATCAAAGTGCGCCAAACAAAATCACATCACACACAAGCAAGAAAACAAAATCCATAAAACATTGGAAAGGATGCTTGCAAAGAATATTGGCAAACCTGCATGGGCAAGAATAATCCTAAGCAGCACATTGACCCCTTTTTCAATCAAATATGAACCCTTTACCAATGTAGGTAAACATGCCGTACATGAAGACATTTTCGGTGTTTGAGATCCCTGCCCCTGTCGACGGCGTCAACGTCAACGTCAAGCTGTTGGCGCCCATGATTTGTTCCCATTAATGGCCGCGCGATGCGCCTTGAAAAACGTATTCGAGGGTCCCCAGCCCCTGGCCTCGGCGTGCTTGGACCATTTTTCGCTCGCCGCTTACGCTGGCACGGTCACAGTGTAAGGTTCGCCAGCTCATGGTCGAAGGCAGCGGTTCGCCACGTCTTGCAGTTGAGTGTATTTCAATATGGGCCAGCAAAAATTATGACAACCACGAGTCGTTGATTTTGTTGAGCCCTTGTTGCGCGTCAGGTGGGCCCGAGTGGATTTTGCTGAACTTCCAGGCTGTTCAGGCCTGCACGGAATGCACGAAGAGTCTGAACAAAACATCAAATGGTATAGGGGGTGAAGCATGTTCCTAGACCCTTAAGGGGTGTCCATCGATGACCTCTTAGAGGTTACAAGGGTTTGTATTGACAACCCTTGGTGGGTCCTGGTTTGGATGGTGTGACCCTGGGCATGAAGATGTTACCGTTGAATTGTGTGTCTTGAAACAAAGGTATGTGTTGAATTGGGTCGCCAAGTGGCGACACAGAATTCACATGTTGTGTTTATATAAGTTTATATGAATTTATTTACGTTATGTATTGTTAACATAATTATAATGACATACTACAAGGTTCTTGGACAGGAAACCCACACCCATGTGGGTCAAACGATCGATACCGGACCCGTCGAGGGCCTGGACTATTCCGCTGCCTTGGAGTTGGCCACGCTGGGGCGTAAGGCCAAGGAGTGTGGCAGGTGCGGAGGGTGACAGGCCTCCATGTCATCGTTCAAAGAAGAAGGTCATGGCAGCTCGGGACCCAATGAAGGTGCCTCGCAAATTCAGTGGGTGACCAGTTTTGAGGGACTTGAGAATCTTTAGGGATCTTTAGGGGTCGAACATGAGACGATGAGACTGAAACATGGCCAACTTTGTGGGTGGAGTGCCTTTTTAGGTGCTACTGGTAGTAGGTGCTATTGGGACAGTTTTTCATGTGTGTGTTTCGATGTGTTTGTTTCTTGATACAAGAACATAATAGGAGTTTAAGTTTTGGAAGGAGGGTGTTGGACCAAAATATCGTTGTTTTACATCAATAGCTAATCTATGTTGGTCGGGACTCCTTGCCAACACCAACGACTTCCGGGCCACCGGTCCAGCACCGAGAGTCGGTGACCAAGACGCTCGTCTTGGCGACGCCTCAGGCGCTTGGTCTTGACGGAGCTGAATGGTGACGTCCAAGACGTCTTGCTGAAAGCTCGGGTGGAGATGCAAGCGCTGCCGAGACCGGTGCCTGGAAGGAGCGTGCGCATGGTGGTCGTGCCAGTTTGGTGGTCCGGTGGTGCCTGGGAAGGCATCGTCAAGGTATCCCTCACATTGCCCAGTGAGCTTGGTGTTTTGGTGCATGGCCTCAGAACCTTGCATAGCATGGCTTGTTGAGCTCCATGACCCAGCGAAGCTGCAATCTCACTGGACAGATGCGCACATTCATCAGATCCAAGAATCCAAGCCATGACAAACGGATATAACTGGCACATATTTGTTTCTTAGCACAAGAACAAAAGAACCTTTCCAGGTACCCTATCCCCTGGCCTTCCCTTTGCGCAGGAGCGTATCGCATGGCCTTTTCTACCAGGCGCACTATCAACGCGCCTTGCAACGCTGCGAAGATGGTGTTCTCTCACGAATCGGCTTGCGGATGCCCAGTAAGTCGCAATCCACCTCTTTGGGCTCCGAGGACGCCTTCATGCGAGAGGTTCTCAAGAGGCGCCTTTGCAGTTCTCGTGAGGTGAAGTCATGAGCTGGGTGGTGGTTTCAGATCTTTTTACGTTCAACCTTTATTGGAGATGATTGAACCATATGGAGCCATATGGAACCCACTGACCAACATGTTCCAGTGCGCTGCTGAAACATGTTGAAGCCACCAAGCATCCAAAAAATATGTTGGATAAAGCCACCCATCCTTAGCTGTTTGTCATTAACTATGAAATATCTCTGTGAGACCGAGGTACTTTGGTGACTTTCTTCCCGAAAATACCAGCCTGGAGACCACTCTCTCCATTTTTTCGAAGCAAACAGCAGCTTTGGTCGCAGTGATGGGTTGCTGCTCAGTAATTGTGATGTTTGGTGACGGACTAGCTGATGTTTTGCTCATCACATCAGGAATTTCAGAGGGCGATTTGATGTTTCCCAACCACTTGCTGTAGTTGATCATGTTCCAACTGTGCGACAGCACAGCCTGACTTTGCTCCGCCTTGCGGCCTTGCTTCCTTACCCTATTGCTATTGTTTCATACCACCCGGGACAACCCACTTGAGCTTTGGTTGTTGGCTGTAGGGTTTCTTGGCCACTCCGGACTTTGGGTCCTTTTACGCGCGTCGCGTGTCGGCGTAAGCTGTAGCGTGGCTGCTGTAGCGCGGTGGGTCAAAGGTCACCGGCAAATTCATCAGACAGAAGATGGGTGGAGTAGACTGAGCCAATAAACTCCAAGGGATTCAAGATTGAAACACCAAGAAAGAGACTTGCCGTGTTAAGCGGCCGTGATGACGCTGCAAAGTGATGGTTGTTGCACACGGCATACGTTGCAGAACCCCACCCATGTGCAGTTTGGAGCCCTTCCGGAATGATATTAAATCAACATTTGCCAGTTGCGGGACCCGAGTCCGGTTCCGTCTTCCCTACTGGTCGGCCTTGTTCGACCCCTCCGGCCGTGCCAGAGACCCGCGTCAACCGGAGCCGCTCCGTCCGGTCGCGCGCCCAGGTGGAGCCTGGCTCCGTCTTGTGGCGCGCGGGCGAGCCCTGCAGTTACTGCGTGTGCGTCACCGAGGGCACGCTGCATGCGATGCAGCCCAGTCGGACGGCGGGGAAGGCGGATCGCTTGGCCTGCGCCTTGGAGCCGAGGGGGGGGGCCGGTTCGGAGCGAACATGGTTCCTAGTAAGGCCAGGAGCCCCCTTCGTGTCGTCCTTGCTCCTAGTGATAAAGAAGACGGAAGAGGAGGAAGAGGAAGGGGAGGATGATGGTGATGATGAAGATGGGAGGAGGAGGAACATAATGGCACAATGGTGATTCTGCATGATCACTGCCCTCTCCCAAGCAAACATTGCCACCTACAAACGGGTTTGGATGATGTTTTCAGCTAACATTGGCTAGATTCGATTTCTCTTGCAGGTCCTTTTGCGGGCCCAAAAGACCTTGGTGTTTGGGCTGAGCTACCGTCGGTGGTTGGACCTCCCATGGTGCAGATCGGTTCCTGGGCCGCGTTGGCCGCGCGCTGCGATCGTCCGAGGTATTGCGGGCCCGGGCGATTTCAGTGGCTTCCTTGCCATGCTGAATCACTTCCCCTACGAGCACACGGTGCTGGTGCCCGAGGAGGCTGAAGATGACACTGAAGCTGAAGTAGACGTGTCTGGTAGTGGTCGTGAAGTAGACGGTGGGGTATATATAGTGGCCCGCGGAACGTCCGCTTCTTGGCCGCGAAAGACCATACCAGCCCTCTCAGACAACAGAGGTGAAACCCTTGTGGGCCAAGGGGTAGACTGGTCTATGTTCATTCTTCCAAGTTCTTTTGCAGATGATGTTGGTAGGGCCTTCCCTTTATTGAAGGCGGGCCGCCCACGGCGCGTGTTTCGAAAATTTTCTTACTGAGCCTTGGTGGGTACCACGCAATCAGGCTTCGTTGCCCGGCAATTGAACATATTTATGACCCATTGTTTGCTGATGGTTGAGTTGTTGTATGTTGTGTTATTCTGCTTTACTACTGTACGTTTCTACACTTGTGTGCAGTTCAGAATTGGTGTTTGGGTGCTTGAACGTATCTACTTTGCTTGCAGGCTTTTGTTCTACTCCAAAATAACTAAAACTGGTCCATTGTGATGACCACTATAGAGGTTTGTGATTTACACTCCGGGCTAAAGGCTATAGCTGCTGATGAATCTCACTCACGGTTCATGTGGGTCACGGTTCATGATTGATCGTGTGTGCTGTGTGACATATCAAATTGCCTTCCTTTCTTTGCACACTTTCTCCTTGCCCAGAACTAGCCAATGTACATGCTCTCTTGTGCCTAGAACTCCGCGTGTTCCATCGAACTTTGCACGTCACGTGAAAAATCCAACCATTGCAAAAGATTCTTGGGCCACTTTCGATGGGCCACTGCCACTGTTTCGGCCACTGCGACCGAAACACTCGTTCACGCTGGTCGGTCGCCAAATTGGGATCTGAGGATGAAGGTGCCTGTCAGATGCTGGTGCTTCAGAAGTCGCCTGGTGCGTGGGTGTGGGGATGTGGCGGTGCGGAGACGGTGTAGCTGGCGCCGACACTTACTTGGCGGTGTAGCTGGCCACCCCCTGGAAGCAGTGGAACATAGACCAGTGTAACCACTGGGCCAGGGTATCTTTCCAGATGGGGCTTGATGAAAGAGAGGCCGCGATGCCACATGTGTTTCTTTTAGTGGGGGGTCCTCCACATCAATCAATCAACATGGGTTGCTTTCGTGTACAGTGAAAAAGAAGTTTACAGAATCCTCCCATTCTGGGAAAGGTTCACGGTGCAGACAGATGGACAACGGACAACAAAAAAACTCTGAACAATCATCCAAGTTGGATCAATTTGGTATGTTTGGGAGAATCTTGATCTCACAGTGGTATGCTTTAAACACAGTGGAAAAGCTTTGCACAGCCACGGCCCCAGGGTCGGCTGGCCATCATCGCCCTGGGCATACCTGGGCCAGGGTCAGCCTTGACTCCTCTTGAGTCGTATGGTCCGAGGAACAAGTATCAAGCGCTGCTGCTCTCAGATCCTCCTTTCGCCCAAGCGCTACTGCGTGGATTTCTGCGGCAAATCAGCTACGAGTGCCGCGAGCTCTCCCGCCTGGCGAACGAATAGTTCAGAGCATGTTCAGACCATGTGGATCACAGGTCCTTGTTCTTCTTCGATCCCTAGGCTTCCTGGCCCAGCTGTTCTCTAGAAAATTGGATTATCATCCGAACCACCAGCTGTTCTACAGATTTTGTCACCGCAAAACCAGGTCAACCACCAGTTTTGTTTGATGGTCAAATGGAAGTCTAGGGTAGATGATGTGTTGATGTGTGTTTGATGATAGTTGATGTGTTGCTGTCGGTGTCTTTGACACTACTCATCGATTTACATTGATTCACGCGAGATTTGCTCCATGAAAAGGCCAGCGTAGCGGTGGTGACGGGGCTGTGTGTTGGGGATCCACTGCCGGCCAGCTACGCACTTCGCTTGGTGTGAGATGTTTCGACTCCTTGCCTCCTTACACGGTGCTTTCGCCAGAAGCTGCAGTGCCTCAAGAAGCCACACCTTCAAAGGAATCACATGGAATTACCTTGTACCTGTGGTGTTGGGAGGTTCCTCACTTGAGATTGACTTCAGTACCTCCAGTTTTCAAGCTGTTCTTGGTTTTTCCTGGCTTGTCCATTTGGCTGCGGTCAACGCACACATGCAGGCACGCACACACACACACACATGTGGCGCATGAGGTGTCAACCGTGTCGGCACCGGTGGCCAGCTGTTTGCTCATCAGTGAGTCCTAGCAGCCTAGCATCATATCTTGGAGACCATGATGTGCTGCAGCATGGTGGTATACATTCCAAGATTTTGTCCCATCAACCCAGAAGAACCATCATTTTTAGTTTGGTTCTGGGGGATCGAAAGATGCAGACCATAGCGTGTGGTTGGCTGCAAGATCTGCAAGAAACACTTACCTCCACCACAACACTCCTTTGTTTCAGACACGAAAGCATCAGATTGGTCAAGCTGACTGAAATTCACCTGAAGTTCTGAATTCTCTTAAACTCAGCTCCCTCATCTCCAAAAGTTCTTCTTCAGCCTGACTCATTCGCCACAAACCGCTGTGTCATTACCTTCCACTCACGCGGAGAGACGCAGCAGCATGAGCGGTGCATACCCTCCGGTGAAGGCTCGCCTGGTGTTGTGCAGTCAGCTGCGGAGGGATGAGCCAGGATGAGCTGTCAAACACCACTTGCACCACTAAGCGGTGCAAGACCAACAAGCAAACCCTATGGCAAGAGCCATTAGGGTCACCCCCACGTCAAACACTTGTTTTCATGGAAAACAGATCAACAAGTCCACCGATGACTTCCTAGGTTTCTCAAGGTGCATGAGCAGCAAATCAAACACATCCCAGGTGACAAACCAACGCACACTTCAAATCCACTATCCCCACAAAACAAAAACAACAAACGCAGGGTTCAGACAACGGGTCTTACAGTACTACCACATGCCCCCCAACAGAAACATTAAAAAACCACGCGATCCCCGGTAGTCATTTTGTCAGTAAACAGAGAACTGTAACAGAGACAGATTCTGCTACATATATATATATATATTTATTAGATGTTCTTAGAACCCACTGTGGTGGGAACACTTTGAAAACC